TCGAGCCCTCTTCGAGCCCTTCGGGTCCCCTGGGGTCACTTGGCAGCCCTGGAGGGCCTCTGGGGGCCATCTTGGAGGCCATCGATCAAAAGGGGTGGGGGTCCCAAATTTGCCTGCCGCCCCCCCGGGATCAGCAACATCGCCTCTTGGGGCTCTCTTGTGGCCGCCTTGGGCCGCTCTTGGGCGTTCTTGGGGCCGTCTGGGGGGCCCTCTTGGGGCCCTCTTTGAGCCAGGCCACCTTGGGGCCATCTTGAGGCATCAAGCGCATCGGAAGCGAGAAGGCGACAAGTAACGCATTATTAGTTCTCCTTAGGTGTTTGAAGGATGTAGGCTTCTTGGGGGGTTCTGAGGGGGCTTCGAGAGCACTTGGAACAGTCTTGCGGCCCTCGTCGGGCCTTTTGGAGGTATATCGGAAGCGATCTTGAACCATCGTCGGTTATCTTGAGCCGCCATCTTTGAGCATCGGACGCCCTCTTGGAGCCACCTTGGGCTATCTTGGGCGCCCTGACCGATCGCGACCCCTCCGAAGAAAGCCTCAGGGAGGTGGGGGGAAGCAACCTCCCGGAAGGGGAGAGGCGTTTGGAAGAGGAAATATTGAACTCGCTAGACCATCTTAGCCCAAAGGGCTGGTCGGATTACTGACACTGCTACCAATCCCTCGGTTTTGACTTTTTGAGGCCGCCCATGGCGCCCTTGTCACCCCCGCTGGATTCTCCTCGAAGTCCTGGTCAGAACGCACCCCGCGAAAGGTCCTGGGAGTAGCGGTCTCAGTACTTTTCGTCCCCCGTCTGGCGCTTGGCAGTCTGCAGACTACCAGCTTGAAGCACATCCGTATCCTCATGTTTGTCATGACCTTATCCTGGGGCCGATTCTGAGGCTTCCCTCGGTTTCTGAGGGTACATGCCCAAGACTGTTATTGCTTTTGGTTGGCCGATCTCAGGGGTAGCGATAAGCTCGAGGCTGGTTAGCAGTCAAGCCTGTTGCTCCAAGGCCTCCCAAATGGGGCCGGTGTTGACGGGGTCGGAGGATCGCGCCGCATCGCCGACGTATCGGCGATGCGGTTCGACGTGGCTCCCGATGTCCTCCATTCCGATACCGCCGATGCATCGCCGACGTCGCCGATGCATCGCCTACGCATCGGTGATGCATCGACGATCCAAGAGATCCGCGCGGACCTTCGAAGTTCAATCCTCAGCCAGGATCCTCGTCCGACGCAGGGCGGGTTGTAGTCAAGCCTTGTGTCAGTGCGGTGCCCAGTGGGGGAATGAGTTACGACGTCCTCCGTTTAACCAAGGGCGCCCTCGAGGGCGCACAATTATTCGCGCTTCGCTGTTCGGCTCCGATTCCTCCTCATCCGCATCTTCTCCCCTGGGGGGCGGCGCGAGAGTGCGAACTTCTTCGCGCAGCGCGAAGCGTGAAGTTGGGTGCCCTTGTTGAGCTATGTCGATGTCTCCAGGCCTCCCAACTAGGGCCCGAGCAGATGGGGTCGGAGGATCGCACCGCATCGCCGATGCATCCGCGAAGCGGCGGGCAGATTGACAGTCAAACTTCTTGTCTCGAGGGGCAAAACGCGTCACAGCATGAACATCTGGGACAAAGAACTACCTGGGATGAGGTGTCGGGAGCTCTTGGGGCCGCGGATTGAACCACTCAGGTCGGAGGATTGAAAGAAGCTGAGACGGCCCCTTCGTCTCAATGTGGGCCCATCACTGTCAGGCCCCATGGGCGCGGAACAACCAGGGACGCAGACGCTGCTCCCTGGGAAGGGGTTCCTCTGATCCCGTCTGGCTGACCCAGGCTTGGGAGCCACGTTCAGCCGATTTTCCCTCCCCCGTCGTCGCTGACCCCGGCCTGGGAGCTGCTCCGCGGCTGGCCCGGGGTAGGGACATGGCCCTGGCTGGCCCGGGTTAGCGTTGACTTGGGTCAGCACGTCCCCCTTTTTGGGGACAGGGGAGGGTCCGATTTACGGTAAGTCCATTCATGGGTTCTCCAGGACGTCCGGGCCATTCATGTCGCGACCTCGGGTGACTCTTGGGCCGTCTTGGACGCCCTCCAGACCGAAAAGGCGAGTGTACAAAAAACACACATGCACGCACAATCAACATGCGTATACGTAGGGGCCGTGGAGCCCCCAGACTGCCCCAGAGAGCTCCAAGACGCTCCCAGAAGCCCCCGTGGAACATCAACAAGCCCCTCCAAGGCAGCCTATGTAGCCCCAACGTGGCACCATATGGGTTCCAGACCGCAAATACACAGCCCAAGAGGCTTCCAAGTGGCCTCCAGAGACCTCCGACAGGCGTCCCGAGAGAGCCCGAAGAGGCCCACATCCTTGATTTTCATGTGTTTCTTGGTGTTTTTCGGTGTCTCGCGTTTTCGACCTTCCGACGACGACGTCCCTAAGACCGCCCCAAGACCGCCGAAGAGGCGCCCAACAGAGCCCCAAGACTGCCCCAGGGAGCCCGAAAATTGCCCAGGACGAGCCTCAGACGGCCCAAGAGAGCCCCAGGACAGGCCCAAGCTGGGCCCCAGAGCGGGAGCGGGAGGCCCCCAGGCGCTCCAAGCCGGCCCTGATGGCCCTAATGCGGCCCCAGATGGGCCCAACACTGCCAAGACACAGCCCAAGAGCCCTCCAAGAGGCCCCAAGAGAGCTCCGAGAGGCGTCCTGAGAGAGCCCGTCCTCAACGTCCAGTTGTTTTTTCAAATGTTTATCGCTTCCTCGCGTTCTCGAGCTTCCAACGCTCGAAGACGGCCGAAGACGCCCCGAAGATCGCCCCGAGACCACCGAAGAGGCCCCCAAAAAGCCCCAATACGGCCCAGGAGAGCCTGACGACAGCCCAAGAGCAGCCCAAGACTGCCCAAGAAAATCCCAGGAGAGGCACAACATGGGCTCCATAGCGGGAGCTGGAAGCCCAAGGGCGCTCCAGGACGGCCGAGATGATACTGACGTGGCCCAAGAGGAGCTCAAGACGGCAAACACACAGCCCAAAAGGCCTCCGAGAGGGCCCAAGAGAGCTCCGAAAGACGTCCCGAGAGAGCCCAACGAGGCCCAAATCATTGATTTGCACTGGTTTGTTCGATGTTTTTCGCTTTCTTGCGTTCTCGAGTTTCCAATGCTCGAAGACGGCCGCAGACGCCCCCAAGACCGCCCCGAGACCGCCGAAGAGGCACCCAAAGGAGCCCCAAGACGGCCCCAGGGAGCCCGAATATAGTCCAGGAGGAGCCTCAGGCAGCCCAAAGGAACCCCAGGACGGGCCCAAGCTGGGCCACAGAGCGGGAGCGGGATGCCCCAGAGCACTCCAAGACGGCCCAGATGGCCCGGGCTTCCCCCTCTCCGCCCCTCCTTCCCTCCCGCTCCCTCCCCTTGCATCCATTCCCTCCTCTCTCCTCCTCCTCCTCTCCTCCTCCTCCTCCTCCTCCTCCTCCTCCTCCTCCTCCTCCTCCTCCTCCTCCTCCTCCTCCTCCTCCTACAGCCGCGCCCAGGCTACGGAGCGCCGCTGCAAGAACAACCTGGAGAGGCTGCTCGAGAGCGAGCAAAAGGCGCTCAGCTGGTACACCGAGCGCAAGGCGGCGTCGGAGGAGGCCGCCTACAAGTTGGCAGAAGCCCAGGCCGAGGCTCAAGCCGCTCTCGATGCACTCCAAGTCGCTCGCAAGGGCGGCACTGCTACTCCCACGGCCCCGCAGCAGAACCCGATGTTCAACCTCACCAGCCTCCTCGAGGACGGTGACATATCCATCGAAGCGGGTTCGGCGTTCGATCTCCAAGGCCTCGACATCGACGACAGCGACCGCCAGGCATGGGAATCCCTCCAGCAGCGCTTCGCCACGGAGCTCAAGGCCAAGGTCACCGAGCTCTTCGGCAACACCGCCAGCCGCATCAGCCAGCTCCGCGCAGAGGCCAGCACCATGCGCACGCGCTTTGCCTCCAAGCGACAGCGGTCCGACGAGGACGGTCACGCCCGAGAGGGAGGTGGACCACCGCCCGCCGCCTCGGCGGCAGCAGGCGAACCCCCAGCGGCAGCCGCAGCGGACGTTGATGGCTCTGCGGCCTCATCGACAGCGGCGCCAAGCGATGAGCCTCCCGCACCTGCTGCTGGCGCTGCTTCTGACGGCAGCTTCGCCGCACAGCCTGTACCAGCGATCAACAAGGACCCCGACCTCGAAGACAAGGCGTAGAAGATGCTCAGCCAGATGCGCAAGCCCACCGCGACCGCCGCGGCTGGAGCGCAGCAGCCTCTTTAGCCGACTACTACCCGACCCTGGGCGGAATGGTGAGACGGGACGTCTACCGTCAGAGACCAAGAGCTACGACAACCCACCGATCATCAACACAATGGACGCAGTCCTCGACCCGTTCGACGAGCTGGCCGAGTTGGACGCCCACATCGCTTTCGCAGCCACAGCTCAGTACGTTACCGCCCCGCCCGAGACGCTGTCCTCGGTTGGGGGCGATGAGGCGGCGCAGTCCGTCGACACAGCGACATGGGACCCAGGGCAGCCGCAGCGTGCCGCGAGAGCCGACCCTGATGCCGCTCCGCCCGAGACGCTGTCCTCGGTAGGGAGCGATGAGACGGCCCAAGCTGTCGACAAGCATATGGTACAGGAACCAGGGGAGCCGTTGCCAACGGCACACCCTGATGCCGCCCCGCCCAAGACGCAGTCCTTGGTAGGGGGCGATGAGATGGCGAAAGATATCGACTTGACCGCTGTGAAAGGCCCATGGAAGCCCAGCAGCCCGAGACCCGACCCCAGACCCGCCTACCAAGACGAAGGCCCTACCAATCCCACGCCGTCAGATCACTCCCTGTTCTTCTCCAACATTACTCAGTGGGGGCCACAGTCGGAGAAATGGCTGGCAGGACCAGGCAAACAATATCAGATGGTGGCATTGGTTGAAACACACATCTCGCATGGCCAAGCCCCTCTCATCTACGACAAGCTAGCAGCGGATGGTTGGAGGATATCATCGACTACAGCCACGCCGACCAGCAGATCCGACGGAGGCAACACGGGTGGCGAGATTATCCTCTCCAGATACCATGTCCAGGCCACAACCTTCAACCACCTCCGCGACCTGGCCATCTCCCAGCGCAGGCCCGACCCGTTCCGAGGCTTCACGCCCATGGTATGGCACAGACGCTCTGGCAACCTGGTTGTTATTGCAGCGTATCTGGAACCCCACAGGCAGATCGAGGGTGCAGTGCACCATAAGTTACTCTCGCTGGGAGCCTTCGTTACTATGCTCGCTCACCCGTGGATCATCATGGCCGATTGGAATATGACACCTGAGCAGCTCGCAGCGACAGAGTGGCCCGCCAAATGGAATGCTACCATCGTGCGAGCGCCTGGATCCGCCACGTGCGACAAGGGCCAGGGACTCACGCTCGACTTCGCATTGGTCAAGACTGGCATCGAGCACACGATCTCCATTCGCCAGTGCCCCACCGTCCCCTGGGCCACCCACGTGGGCCTTGAAGTTCGAGCAGGCAGTGCAGACCCCTGGTGGTATCAGTCGACCCATACCCCCAGGGCATTCCCCACAGTGGACAGACCCAGGATCCCACCCGACCCCAACAGCAAGTCCGCCATCAAGAGACGTAAAACAGCAGAAGCTCGAGCAGCACGCCTACGCGAGCTACCTCCTGAACTCCAACAAGCAGCAGCACAACTCCAGCCGCAAGACGAGCCCGCAGCACAGGAGCCTATCCCTTACGCTATCCCGAGGGACCTCTGGGAGGAACAATGGCAGCAAGCTGTACCCACACGTTGTAAGCAGCCGCACGCGCACTTCGCGTGCACTCACTGGGCGCACGACGCCGACGACCTCAACCTCAAGTACGCCAAATGGGTCACGGCGCTCGAGAACACCATGATCAGCCACCACCAGATCGACCCCACGGAAGCCGCAGCATTCACAGGCCGTGCCCAAGGCTACCAATTGTCTTGGAAGAAGACGGCCGCCGCCCCAGGCCGCGTACACGTACATGACCCTCAGTCGGAATGGTGGGCAATCGCGCTCACCCTCATCAAGCGCTACGCTGCGCTTCACGACAAGCCCAAGCACACAGCGCTCATGCAGCAGCAGGCCTCCATCACCCAGCAGCGCGCGGACCACTTCAACACTCACTTTCACGACCTCCAGTTCGAGAAGGACGAGGACACCATTTTCCGCTGGTTTGCACTCGTCTGGGCCCCGCACTTGGACAACGAGGACACCGACGACTTGGTCACTATTACTGCTACTTGGGCCTCCAGAGCGCTTTCCGCCGCCCTCGCTAAGTCCAAGAGGGCTTACGGTGCTTGGCTCGCCAAGCAATGGAAACACCGCCCTGGGGTACTACACGCCCATGTCAAGCCAGCGCCCGTACGCCACATCGAGGCCTACACGACCAACTTGACCATCGCCGACCCCACCGTTATCATGGACAGCAAGAAGCAACAATGGCAACAAGTATGGCAGGCCACCGAGACCCCCGACGACATCCTACAGGCGCTGTCAAAGGCCAAGGCAGCAGCCGCTCGCCAACCGCTCGAGCCCATCACAGCCGAGATCGTGCACCGCTTTCACGGCCGCATGCCACCCAGTAAAGCTCATGGAGTTGACGCCCTTGGACCTCGCGACCTCCATCGACTACCAGAACCAGCAGTCGAAGCCTATGCGGATATCCTCAACGCAGTAGAGCAAGCAGGCATTTGGCCACTATAAATCTCGGGCACTATTGCAGCCCTCGCAGCCAAGAAGCCGGGAGGCGACAGGGTCCTCGGCATGCTACCCCACATGGCCAGACTCTGGTCTCGCATCAGATCGACTGCATCTACATCCTGGACCCAAGGCCTGGACGACTTTTGGACTACAGCCATCAAAGGCTCCCCAGCTCTCCAGGCCGCCCTACACAGGGCCTTGTTAGACGAGACAGCCTCAGCACTTGGCATACAGTCAGCCACATTGCTATTAGACATCCAGAAGTTCTACGACAATATCAAGCTCGCCAACCTCATTATGGTCGGCCTCAACTGCGGCTTTCCCCCCATCATTCTACTACTGGAAGTGCAGCTATACCTGGCGCCCAGATTCTTGCGCAGTCGACAATGGGTGAGTATGCCTATCTTCGCCTCCAAAGGCATCATCGCAGGCTCCCCGCATGGCACGACCTTGGCACGACTCATATTACTTCCTATTCTACGGCAAGCCCAAGCTCAGGCAGAGCTTGCCCAGATGTGGACCTTCGTAGACGACACTGTCCTTCGAGTCGAAGGGGTCCTACGCACACTACAGAAGCACCTCCCCCGTGCCGCCAAGACGCTCTGCGACGGTCTAAAGGAGTTCGAGCTGCCCATCTCTGACAAGACGGTCCTCATCGGCTCCACCCCCAAGGTCCGCAAATCGCTAGCCAAGAAGTTGCGGCAGTACGACATCCCTGTTACAGCGACCGCCACGGCCGTCGACCTCGGAGTTGACGCGGCCGCGGCTACTCGACGGGTACAAGCCAAAGCCAGGAAGCGACAGAGCTCAGCCGCAGCTAGGTTTCGCAATATACACCGACTACGGAGCACTGCACAGCAGGCTCGAATCTCAGCAGGACTGTGGCGCACTGGCGCTCTCCCCGAAGGAGTTTTCGGTCATCAGGTGCACGGCCTTGCTCGACACGCTCTACTACGATGGCGCCGTCAGGCCGCCATTGCGGCCACGGGAGCAGCAGCGGGCCGATGCCTCACCTCCCTCCTCGGCGCCACCTTCGACGGCATGGACCCAGGAGTTTCCCTAAGGATCGAATTCATCGAGGCTTGGCTCCAGCACTGGATACGCCACCCGAGCACGCACGCCAGGATCATCAGAGCATGGCCAAGGATCAAGACCACTTTGCTAGCCGCAGGCCCCAAGCTGTGGCGCAGGGTCAAGGGGCCCACTGGCGCGGCCATCGCGACCCTGCTGGAGGCCAGCTGGGAGCCGACCTCAGCTACCACGTGGAGGCGCACGAAGGACGGCTACATCGAGGAGTGGAACCTCCCCCCTGCCGATGACCCTGGCCTCCTCGACGCCGACATCCACACAGTATTGCAGGACCTCAGCGAGGATTTGCACAGGCTCCTCTGGACTCAGGCCGCTACGCATGACCATGGTGACACGCTGGCTGGAGGAGCGGACATGGTCACTATCCGCATTGAACAAAGGAGGCTCCTCGCAAACGGTGATTTCAGCGACTGGGCCCTCAACGACACCGTCATCAGTGGTGGACAATGGACCAGGGACCGCCTCCACAACGCGGGCTACCAGATCGACAAGAACTGCGACCGATGCAGCGCAGGAGTTCCTGAAACCCTGTTTCACCGTATGTGGCAGTGCGAGGCGAATGTGGGACCTGAGTTTGAGGCCAGTGACAAGCTACTACCGCGAGCCGTGGCGGGGGCAGATGCTGACCCTGCCCTGTGGCTCCGCGGCATCCCCTCTGTCGCTCTCACTACGCCCGCGTTCGAGCCATTGACTGGGAGGGACGGGTGGGAGTTCGTCGGTGCGGCGCGGGAGGGGTTGCCGTCGTGGGAAGGAGCTCGTAACGCTGAGGGCGAGTTGTTTCTTTTTGGCGACGGGTCTGGCGGCGCCTTTTCCGACGACGTCAGGCGACGACGTGTAGGTTCTGGCCTCGCGGCCCTCCGATGGGACCCTCCCTCGGCCTCCTGGACCCTCCGCGCGGGCCTCCTCGCCCCCCTCCCAGGCCCCCGCCAGACCGTCCCAAGAGGCGAATTGCATGCGTTTTGCCTGGCACTGGAGACGAGCCAGCAGGATTTCACGTTTGTCACTGATCACCTAGCCCTGCAGCGCGGCTGGCAGAATGGCAGATGTCTCAGACCTGGCAGCCTCAGAGGCAAGAATAAGAATGAGGATCTCTGGCTGAGAATTCGGCACCTCGTGCAGGATCGATCTGGCGGCTGCTCTTCGGTCACGGTGCTCTGGACCCCATCTCACGCCGATCCCCTCACTTTGCATGGTTTCCAAAAATTTCTGGCTCTCGGCAACCAGCATGCCGACGAGCTCGCGGGAAGCGCGGCCCACAAGTCGGCCGCCCTTGCCCTCCCGCCCGTCCCCAGGACCGATGAATACGACGCTATTGCAGCCATCGTCCGACAGAGGGCACGACTGATCTTACGCTCCTTAGGCAAGAATTCAGAGCCTCGAGGACTGTGGCCAGAGAGGCAACCCACCCAGGAGGCAGCCCCTCGCTCTCAGTTGCAGACCGCGATCGCGGCTTCTCAGCACAAATTCGAGCGGCGTGCAGACAAATGGAGATGCCCTGCCTGCCTCATCATCGTTGACGCTTGCCACGTTATTCCAGCTGCCGCCACTGAGTGTGCGCCGCCTTGCCCCCTTCCCGAGTTCGCTGCGTGTGGAGAGGTGCTGTGGTCGAGGGGCCCCCGCGTGATCAGTAGCAAGTTGATCCACCCCTCCCACACTTTGGCCACCATCCCCAAGTGGCAATTGTTCTTTTGTGTGAAGTGCGGCCATACGGCCACGCACCAGGTTAAAAGCCTTCTTTTGCCGTGCCCTCTCTCCCACCAAGTGGGAGAGCGCAGGGCCCGGGGACCCACTGGCAAAGGCCTCGAGAACCTCAGCAGGATCAGGCGAGGCCTCCACCCGTCCAGAGCGGGCCCCAGCAAGTCAGTGCTAGAGGCTTTGCACGTTTCGGCAGCCGAAGCCGCGATCGGTTCCTACGCGGCGGGTGCTGCCTCCGAGTAAATTGTGAGGCCAGGGGGGCCTGTCGCGGTGGGCCGTGGGATGTCGCCCCCCACGGCCCTCCGAGAAATACAGGATGGCCCCCCTGGCATCTCTGGGTTCCGAACGGACTACGTCCGATTGCTCCGCTCTACTCCACTCCTCCTCCTCCTCCTCCTCCTCTTCCTCCTCCTCCTCCTCCTCCTCCTCCTCCTCCTCCTCCTCCCGTCATCCCTCAGCTTTCGTGCTCCTCCCTCTTCTCCTGGGACGGCCCCGCCAAAGCACCAGACAGTCCCCGCCAGAGCGAGCGGGGCATCGCTATACCCTATCATTGCACAAGTTGTTGTCCCCCTCCCACCCCTCAAGGGCGGCCCTGGCAGAGCGAGAGCGTTCTGACTGTGCGTTTCTTTGCGTCGATGTTATGGGCCCGAGAACGCTCGAAATCGTCGTTTTGATCACATCGGGGCTTACAGCGGCACCCGTACCACATCTGCGACTACAACCTAAGCGCGCGCGTTGCGCGCTCGTGGTTCTGGTATACATATATGTATGTATACAAGACTGCATTGGCGCCGCGCGCCATACACCTTGGTCCTTTGAGTTCTGCACGCAAGCGGAATGCGTGCGTGCGTGCATGCGCGCATGCATGTATACACGCGCACGTGCATGCACGTCCCGTATAATTGTCTAGGTGTGCACAATATACTTACATTGTTGTATGTGTGTATTCAGCGTACATTTGTACATATAAGTTTATG